CAAACTGGGGACCTTGGTCTAGCCAAAGTGACATATGAAAATTAGCCAATACAGTATTTCATAGAAAAGTAGATATCTTAGCTTTTTAGTCCAATTTCCTTATTTTTGCAAATAAGGACACAAATTAGAGGACAAGCCCTACATCAAGCACACACACTCACAGAATAATGTGCACACCCAAACTCCCAGGGTCTTTCATAAATTGCTCACTCCCTTCTAGTAAAATTAACTGGAAAAATGCTTCCCAAACGCCACATATTTCTATTTTGAAAACTTGACTAGAAAAATTCAGCAAGCAGTCAGCTTATTTTATTACCCCTCTCTGGGTTAATGCTTCAACACCCTGTTGTTGAAGTCTGAAAAAAGATGGCACACCTTTCCAGAAGGCAAATTTTCCCTTCTAGTCCTTTTCCGTTCCACCCACCCTCTACCCCAACCCCTCCAGTCTCAAGTGTCTCTTGTGCCTCTGGTTTACAAACAAGCTCTCCCTTACCAGAGCTGAAACACGATTTGCCCAGGCCAGAAACCCCCTGTAGGCTTGTAAAATCCATTCACTCCTCAAATCTCGGCCTAGACATCTTTCCTCCAGTCGTGTTCCCCCAACGTGTCAGCTGGATTAGGTGGTCTTACCTCATTCCCAAATGGCTATTGCCTGTTTTTTAATCCATAGTCCCACTAGTGTCTTGTTCCAGGTTTCCCCAGTATTAGAATGTTTCACATACTAGACATCAGTAAATATTAGGGGAAGGAAGGAAAGAAGGAATGAGAAAGGAAGGAATTTCAGTGGATTCCCTCTTGTGTAGCTTAGATCTGACAACTGTAAAGACAGTCTGTGATGACTTTCACCCAGAGAACTATAGGGTCTAGAGTTACTTTGGCCCATTTAGGTGTGAGGGAGTCTCTGTTTAGTGACCTGGTGTCCTGGGGGTTCACTTAGCCAGCTTTTGGACTGGGACTAGGGTGATAGAAGCAGAAGTGAGAAGGGACTGAGAGATGGATATCTCATGAGTCAACAGGACTGCATTCCTTAAGTACAAGATCAGGAGGTCAGGAGAACCTGTTTTTTTGGTACAAGATAATATTGTTAAATCAACTCTATATTGTATATAAATATTAGAAAAACACAAAATGATGGACTATCTTAAGAGTAGAAAATTTTAAGATGAAAAGTCTCAATAGGACAAACACCAGAGGTAGGGGAAGGGATGATTAATGAATCTTAAGACTACAGCTAGCTATGCCCTCTCCACCTGCCGGTGGCGCAAAGGGTTAAAGTGCAGCACTAGGAAGCTATCTGCAGCCACTGCAGGGAGTTCCATCCCCACCCAGGGAGGTGACTCACAGGGCACAGAGACCACTCACTGCTACCCTCACCAATGTATTTCCCCACTCTGCCTCTGATGAGTCCTCTCACCTCTGGCCTGTACCCCAGTTCTGGTATGCATACATACACCCTCCCTGGTGGTGTAGTGGGTTCAAGCACAGCACTAATAAGCTAAAGCCACATCAGCATGAGTTCAATCCCCTGCCCCGGAGGAGACCCACATGGCATGACAGACCTCTCCTGACCTGCCCGCTGCTCCCCTCAGCAGTGTATTTCATTGATCTGCCTATTCTGCTCCCACCTCTGTCTCTGGTGAATCCTCTCACCACCCCTGCACCTCTAGCCTGTACCCCCAGTTCTTTATGCATAAATAAATAAATCTTTAAAAATAAAAAAATAAAAATAAAAGTAAAGGTGACTATGGAAGTTTACAAGAATTAGGGGTGTGGGATGGGAGATCAGAAAAGATTATCAACCAGAGGAGGGGACAGAGAGAATGATCTTAGAAGACCAACCCAATCTGACCCCGTGGCAATAATTTCCAGTAACTCCACAGAGGACATAAAAGAATACTGCTTGCCCTGGCAAAATGCAGTCCATGGCTTTTAAGACTGCCTGCCTGTTTATTCAGTGCCTCTCTTTCCTTGCTCTCCTTGTACTGATGAGTAGGAACATCTGCTGAATTCTTTCACAGAAAAACCCCACACACCATACCTCATCACCTAAACCCCAACATAAAGTACAGCTGAATATGCAAATCAAAGTTAAAGAAAAATTATGGCCCTTCACAAATTTCCCATTGTTACGTCAATCCCGGTTATCAAGTGTGGACACTGGCCAACAGGCAGAGCAGGTATTGCCCACAGGGTCACCAGAAAGACACTCCTCCCTTCACTATCATGACAGTATCTGGAATTCTGCAATGAAAATAGTATTTTTTAATATCAAATATATATTGTTTGTGCATATTAAATCTCTGGGAAGAAAGATAAATGATAATAGGGGTTACCTCTGGAAAGAGGGATTGATAGCTTAGAGATCAAAAGTGGGAGGGAGACTTATCTGTTAACATTTACCCTTTAGTATCCACCAAAATCTATCACAGGCATAGATTCTTAATCTAGAAAAGGAAAGTTTCCCTTTATTTTTAAAAGTTCAAATTGGTCAACGGAAATTGGTTTAACAGCAGTATATCCATTAATGGATAAAGTGCAATCATTAAAGTGAAAAGCATAGTTCTGAGTCAGAAGATTGATACAACAGATGCCTGTGATAACTTGTTAAGGCAATGTTAACAATTCTCCCATTAAAAATGTTATCTGTCAATTAAGTATACCACAATAAAAATCAGCCCTTTGAAAATTAAATAAACCCCATTTGATAAATATATTAATAAACGAATAATAAAAATAAATAATAAGCTAACATTTAATTTACTATTTAGCATTCAATTTAATGTTAGTTCATGCATTGGGAGAACTATGAAAGTAGCAGTAAGTTGCCTATTGCTAACCTCTGCAAGATAGATTTAGAGATTTTTGTCTTCAAAGTTACACCTTCTGACATTGCTTGAACCTTCACAAGGAGCCAATTACTTTATATTCGGACAAATGCTAAAATATTTCACCACAGACAATTCAAGAATGGAGAGAGAGGGTTATCATCTTCAGCGGGAGCAAATTTTGAACTCTCTGGATGGAAGCCAGCTTTGATCCAAATCCAAGCCTTGGCAGGAAGAAGTAATGGGGCACAGTCTTGGCTCACAACAGTCCCTCAATATTTAGCAATTACATTTATATTTAAACTCAATGTCTAGTAATTGGATCACAGAGTAGAATTAACTTGTCTTTTCCCCCAGGGCGTGAGAGACTAGCTACCAGAACTTTAAAAAAGTTTTTTGTGAGCCCTCCCTGTTGCCGCAGAGGGTTGGGGCGCAGCACTGCAAGCCAGCAGCAGCCACCGCGGCTTCAGTGCAGTACGATCCCCGCCTGCCCCGGAGGTGATCCAAAAGGCGTGGCAGACCTCTTCCTACCTGCCTGCTGCTCCCCTCAGCAGTGACTTCATCGATCTACCTGTTCTGCTCCCCACTCTGTGTCTGGTGAACCCTTCACCACCCCCGCACCTCTTGCTTGTACTCTTGTTCTGTATTCATAAATAAATCTAAAAAAAAAAAAAGTTTCTTGTTCTCTGAAAAGACGCCTATTCCAGGCATTTTTTCCTAATTGCCTATTGGAACCACAAGAGGGCAGCAGCTTCATGTACAAGAAAGAATCTCAGGCATTTGTAACAAAAGGCAAAGGGAGGAGCCTTTATAAAAATGTCAAAACATGCCCAAGGGGATTACAACTAAGATGGGAAAAGGCACAAAATGATGTAAAAATAAACTATTATATTATTATAAAAAAAAACAAAAAAGAAGTCTAGGATTAAGTACTAATGGTAAGATAAGTAAAGAGACGTTAAGGAAATACATTTTACTTATGCGATTAAGTTGTACAGTAAGGGAAAATTAGAACCTAGTTTTTCTAATTATCTAATATTCTCTGCTGTCTTCTTAATTTGAGAACATCAAATATCTCTGCTACAGATATACAGATTCCTACAAGTGTGTTCAAGTTGAGAGCAAATAAGAATTAGGTTATTTTAAAAAGAAATGCTCATTGTTTAAGTATCAGTTGTGAACTATACCACCATATAGTCAGGTAAACAAATTAAAGTAATAATTTAATGTGTATAAAATTTTAGAAATAAACAAAAATTATGCTCAAGCTAAAAAAAAGTCAAAACTTGAATTTTCAGTACCTTGTTGTGAATGCCTATGAGTGCACATTTAAGATACTGTAGGAGATGATGTCCCATGAATGGAAAAGGAATTCATGCTCTGTGGGTCTACTAGACTCGAGGGGCTTGTTGGGTTGCCATGCCTTGTTACCTGCAGTTCTGCATTCCTATACAAAGGTCAGAACTGCCATTCACAAATTAGTCAATCAGCCATAGGAGCCAAATCAACCAAGAGCAGAAAGCTTGATCGAGACTCTGGGAAAGCTATGCACCACGAGGTATGAAAGAGATCACCGTGTGTGCCGAGGACCGATGTATAACAAGGGACCCCAGAAGCTGATCAGTAGAATTCCTTGTTAGTAAGATCAGAATCATGGCTGGGGCCCAGAATATGGTTTCAATTAAAACATTTGGTCTTCAAGCAGATAAAAATCATCTGGTCAGCAGACTCATGTCCTCCCAAAGTCTACATGACAAAACACGTTCTTTAAGGTTTCACCTATCTTTTCCTCCTTGTCCCCCTACCCTACATAACTGAAGCTGTATGATTGTTCTATCAATAAAAAGGCCTGCCTGGTGGCAAAAAAGGTTAAATCTCAGGCCTCTCCTATCTCGCCACTGCTCCCCTGAGCAGTGGATTTCAGTCAATCTGCCTGTTCTGCTCCCCACTCTGTGTAGTGAATCCTCTCACCCTCCATCCCCCACCCCTGACCTACACCCCAGCTCTTGTATTCATTTAAAAAAAAAAAAAAAAAAGGCCAGGATCTAGCTTGTTCAGCAGCATCCTGCACTGTGCAGCCTGCTCCATGACTCCCGATTGTCAGTGTGGTGTTGCTGACTCAACAATGCTGGTGAGCAAACTAATGTGTTTCACCTCTCTTCCAGATGCTGTGTGAGAATAGGTGAGATCAAAAGAGAACAATCTAGAACATAAGATTTACTTCTGATGTAAATCCTCGCACCAGGATGGATGGGGAATCTTACCACAATGCAACTCCTGTCAACAGCACGCCAGTAAATCACCAGCCTTTGGAACGCCATGGCTTGTGGGAAGTCATCACCATCGCCTCTGTGACGGCTGTGGTAAGCCTGATCACCATTGTGGGCAACATCTTAGTCATGATCTCCTTTAAAGTCAATAGTCAGCTGAAGACAGTAAACAACTACTACTTGCTCAGCTTAGCCTGTGCAGATCTCATCATTGGGATCTTCTCTATGAACCTGTACACCACCTACATCCTCATGGGGCGCTGGGCTCTTGGGAGCCTGGCTTGTGACCTTTGGCTTGCACTGGACTACGTGGCCAGCAATGCTTCAGTCATGAACCTTCTGGTGATCAGCTTCGACCGTTACTTTTCTATCACAAGACCTCTGACATATCGGGCCAAGCGGACCCCCAAAAGGGCTGGCTTTATGATTGGCTTGGCCTGGCTGATCTCCTTCATCCTCTGGGCTCCAGCAATCCTCTGCTGGCAGTACTTAGTCGGAGAGCGGACGGTACCACCGGACGAATGTCAGATCCAGTTCCTCTCCGAGCCCACCATCACCTTTGGCACTGCCATTGCTGCCTTCTACATCCCAGTTTCTGTCATGACGATCCTCTACTGCAGAATCTACCGGGAAACAGAAAAGCGAACCAAGGACCTGGCTGACCTCCAGGGCTCTGACTCTGTGGCTGACGCAGAGAAGAGAAAGCCCACTCACAAGGCCCTCCTCAGGTCCTGCCTCAGCTGCCCACGCCCCATGCTGGCCCAGAGGGAGAGGGACGAGGCCTCCTGGTCGTCCTCCCGCAGGAGCACCTCCACCCCTGCAAAGCCAGCCCAAGACACTGGCCCAAGCACTGAGTGGGCTAAAGATGAGCAGCTCACCACCTGTGGCAGCTACCCATCCTCTGAGGATGAGGACAGGTCCACCAGTGACCCTGTCTTCCAAGTGGTCTACAAGAATCAGGCCAAGGAAGACCCCAGGGAAGAATTCAGTGCTGAAGAAACCAAGGAAACTTTGGTGAAAAGTCAAGCTGAGAAAAATGACTATGATGCCCCCAAATACTTCCTGTCTCCAGCTGCTGCTCATAGACCCAAGAATCAGAAATGTGTGGCCTACAAGTTCCGACTGGTGGTAAAAGCTGACGGGACCCAGGAGACCAACAACAGCTGCCGCAAGGTGAAAATCATGCCCTGCTCCTTCCCAGTTTCCAAGGACCCTTCCACCAAAGGCCTTCACAACCTCAGCCACCAAATGACCAAGCGCAAGAGGATGGTTCTTGTCAAAGAGAGGAAGGCAGCCCAGACCCTGAGTGCTATCCTCCTGGCCTTCATCCTCACTTGGACCCCTTACAACATCATGGTCCTGGTTTCCACCTTCTGCGACAAGTGTGTCCCAGTCACCCTGTGGCACTTGGGCTACTGGTTGTGCTACGTCAATAGTACCGTTAACCCCATTTGCTACGCTCTCTGCAACAGAACCTTCAGGAAGACTTTTAAGATGCTGCTCCTCTGCCGATGGAAAAAGAAAAAAGTGGAAGAGAAGTTGTATTGGCAAGGCAACAGCAAGCTCCCCTGAGAAGTTTGCAACTCCCCTTCATAAAAAGAATGACCATCATAGGCTTCCACTGAGGCGGGGCCAGCTGATCGTGGTTTATTTCAAAAAAAGGACATCTGCCATTTTTGAGCCCCTGAGGACTGTTGCCAGACAAGTCACAACTGCTGCCATGTTGAGTGATTCTTGTCAACGACCAAGTCGCCTGACGCCACTAGAGTTTGTCATTGAACTAAAGAGATGGAATTTTGGCTCTTCACAGGAGGAGGCACACTGGGCATGAGAGCAATGGCTCAGAAAACTTTTGTCTAACCTGTGGGGAGCAACAGGGGACTGGTTGAGACCTTCCCCCAATGTGGAAACCCATTACGGGGTGTGGGGAATATGTGTCTATGCAACTGCTCATATAGACCAGTGAAAAGTGGGAGGATGTAAGTCAGGGTCACCTGTTAACAGGAGTGATCAGTTCAGCTGGCTTCTAGACTACTGCTTTACAAGCTCATCAGTATTCATGACGCAGCTATCGTGTGGTTCTGTACTGTGGTCTTTTCCTGTGCCTACACCTGAGCAATGTTCTTACTCTTTCCTTTCACAACCAGTGCCAAATCCTGGCAGTCACTGCAACCACGCTGGCCCCCCTGAAGCAGCCTGGCCTTCTGGATCCTGGGTCTGGAAATACACCAGAACTTTACCACACTCCGTCCTGGAGAGGAGCATCTTTTCCACCAATAAAGATGTTATCAATTCCCCAGAGCCAGATATTGTACTATTTACCAGAGGGAGTTTTTTCCTTTTGTCTAAACAAATATTGGGCATTCTATTTTGTGGCCACATAGACCCAGGTGTCCATGCTGTTCTTTGGCCATCTAACCATATGGCAGCCCTGTGTGAGAGAAGAGCTTCTGCAGGCACCATTCTCTTCACAAGATAAACCTGAGACAAAATATGGAGAACAATTTTGGCTTCATTTCTTCCTTTTGAATTTCTTTCAGAGACCTTCGCAAGCCTCCAATTTCCTCATCCAGACCTCCAAATTCACTCCAGGCACAAGCAGGTCACGGTACTGCCTCCAGTCAAAGTGCTATCTGGGAGGGAAGTGGGGGAAAGGATTTTTCTTTTATAGGCCTGTCAAATCATGGCTCAGAAAAGACAGATTCAGTCCTCTCCAAATGCATGGCCTACACGCCCAGAAAAGCAGAACTGAGATGCAATGAACATGGCTATTCATAATCATTAAAAATTAAATCCTCATCTCTAAAGACAAAATGTAGGTCACAAAATGTAACTATAAAAATAAAGCAGCTATCAATATCTAATAACACAACTATTAAAAATCAAATTTCACTGAAATGTTATAAACTGAATCGATGCTATTCTTTGATAATTCTGAAAATAAATCAATGTGGAAGGAAACTGAAACTGTGAAACTGCATAAAATACTAGTGAAAGAGCCACAAAGAAAGCAGCAGTGTCACATACAACCAGGATTTCTGCCAGACAGAAACTCATTATCTAACCTGGGAATTATATCTGCAGTTGTGTTTTAAAATGCCAGACTTCATTTCCCCTAATTAGTCCAGTCCTGCCCCAATCACTCTTGCTGAGGGGATATGCAAGGAGCTGGTTTAGTTGTTCTGGGGTCCAGATACATACCTGAGTGTAGGAGAATTCAACCTACCACTGAAAACCAGACAGACTTCTCCCACACAGGCCCAAGAAGGCTGCAGGGCAGTAGAGACCCAGTAGCCCTGGGGGGAACTGATGTTGAGGTGAAACATCTTAGATGCAATGTGGCCTTTCAGCCTTTGTGAGACACTTGCCAAGAATTTGGTAGTGATTAATTAATTGGCTCCATTCTCCAAGACAGAGACTCCTTGGCCTTTGTGATACCAACAGGGTGTGACTTCATGACCAAACCTGTTCTACCAGCTCTAGATAAACAGTTGACTCCTTTAGGTTAAGGTTTTGACCTGACTTAAAGCCCATACTCAGCATTTACTGTTCTCGGTAGAGAAGCATGTTAATTTGAGACAAGAACACCGAACTGTGGGGCTGCAAGAAGACTTCAGGGGAGGTCCTCCCGCGTTCCAGTTGCCTTTTTGTCATTTGCAAAATTAAGAGGCTTAGCTTCCTTCCTTATCACTGATTTTAAGTGGTAGGTAGTTTTGCAGACTACCTATCCCCTTGAACTTAGGCCCCTTCCCCCCCCCCCCCAAAATGCCTCATACTATTAGAAGAGACCAGATTTCTTTAGCATTGGGCTGCTGGTGAGTCCTCAGAATGAAGACCCAGTTGTAAACTAAGGGCCCCCGATGAGTGGGTGGAGTGTGGGCTGACTTCAGATCCTAGACCTTTTATGCCCCCATGTTTCCCAAGCCCTTCCAGCCCTTCTGTGGTGGGCTATGTACAGCTTTGATTAGCTACTTTTGGGATGCAATTTTGTTGCCACAGTTGTGATTTGTACCCCTTGACTGTGAATTTGATGGCTTGTCAGGGAATCTGAGTACAATTTTTGGTTAAAGCACTTTGTCACTACTCCTGACCTCTGCTCTGTTCCCTTTGGTGAATGTTCTTTGACAGCCATGCTGATGTCCCTGCTTTGTGACTGTGAACTCTGTACTAATTTATGGACTGACACATCCAATTGTAAGATGTAAATACTAGAATTATAGCAGAGGATGTGGGACTGCGGCTTTTCTGTATCATACTAGTATTGTTCTGGATATTAAAGGAATTGAACCACACAGTTGTCCACTTTGTAGTTACCCACTACAAAGCACTTAAGTAAACAAATGGTCTCAGGCGAGCTTCATAGCTCCATCTATGTTAGTGTCCCACACACATTTACTTAAGAAAGGAAGGGTTCACACACAATCTGGATACTAGTCCCTCTTGATACCTTTTGTAATTTCCCCTTTCCTCTCAGTTACTAATGACCAAATGAATATGATGACAGTGACCAGATTCTGGTGACTAAAACAAATGTTTCCCTTTCTCTCTAGGACAAGGTGGTGGGGGTAGACATGCGATTCCTTGCAGCAATTCCTCTTCGACTGCTCAAATAGCTGGGCCCAGTCACCTCATTTCCATTGTAAGTGACACTAATTTCCTCTCCCCATACTTCACCAGTAAAGTTTGAGATTATGTAAACCCTTGCCCAGTGAGGACCCCAGACTGAGAGGAGAATGGGGGAGGCAAATTAGTCTTTTAAACATCAGAGAAGGAGGCAGAAACAAATGTTTCAAAATTAAAAGAATATATAGCTTTAACCTTGAAGAAAAGCTGCAAGAAAATTACAGCACCTATATCCTTCACCCCAATAGTTACCATGTTGGCATGTTCATTCTTACCTTGTCTTTATACACAGGTACTCATTTGGGATAGCAGGCACCATGTCCTCAAAATTCTTCTGTCTGTGTTTCTTAAAAATAAGATTATCTTACATCAACCCAGCACAAATACAAAAATCAAGAAATTTAACAGTGCTACATTATTATTGTGTTATCAACAGTACAGACTCAAACTTGTCCAAGTGACATTAATTCTAAGAATTTCTTTTCCAGTTCAGGATCTAATGCAAAAACATGTTACTCTTAGTTGTCATGTTTCTTTAGATGCCTCAAACCAGGAAAAGACCCTTCAATCTCCTTCTTCTTTCATGGCATGGTTATTTTATTATAAGGCCATGCAATCTGATGATTGTTTTATAATTTTCATCAGTTTGGAAATGTCTGATGTTTCCTCATTAGATTCAGTTTGTTTGATTTAAAGTTGATTTGTCTATAAGGCTTTCTGGCCTCTGAAATTCTGAACTTGAGAGAAAAACAAATCATTCTGTCTAAGGACACATTATTTTAAAAACTTTGTAGTCTAACTTTTAAAATAACTGTATTAGTTTTGTAGGGGTGTCATAACATAGAACCATAACTGGGTGGCTTAGAACAAACTTGTACAGCTCTGGAGGCCAGAAATCCAAAATCCAGACATCAGCAGGACCCTGCTCCGGCAAAGGGCTCTACATAAGAGCCTAGAATGCAGAGAGAAATTAGCATTCCAAGACACAGACTGATGGGCAGGACAAATACAGCACAGAACCGGTGCTTGGGGACTGAAGGTGCTCCTCCTCCCCACACACCATCACTTCACTTGTCCAGGTCACTGTTTTCACTGCTCTATGGTGGAGACAATAACACCAAAATCCAAATGGCAAATAATCTTACAGATTAAAGAGAGCAGGTGAGGGCACCCTCCCTAATTAAAGCATAGCACTGTGAAGTTAGCTACAGCCACTTTGGCACAAGTTCGATCCCTGGTAAGGAAGGTGACCCACATACCACGGCAGACCTCTCCTGTCTCTCCTGCTGCTCCCCTCAGCAGTGTACTTCATCAATCTGCCTGTTCTGCTCCTCAATCTGTTTCTGGTGAATCCTCTCAACGCCCCTGCACCTCTGGTCTGTACCCTAGTTCTGTATGCATAAATAAATCAATCTTAAAAGAGAGAGAGAGAGAGAGGGAGAGAGCAGGTGAGTGAAAGATAAGGATACTTCCCACCTTCCACTGGAGACTCACACAAGCAAAGGCCTCTGGTCTTATTTTCCAACTTAGTTCCCAGTGCATGGGCCAAGATATTAGGTCTTTCAGATAGGAATATTGCCCTGTCTGGATTTAATCTAACTTAGTTCATGAACCAACCCTTCTCAAGGGTACAGGTCAAGAGGGAATACAAAAATGCAGGTGCACACAAGTATATATACATACATATAACTGAACCAGAAGAAACGGCAAGCTCAAAGTGGGAGCAGTGAGCTCAGAGTGGCAGGACTGAGCCTCCAAGGAGCTAAGAGTCTGCTAAGGCCTTGGAGAAGAGATGGAAGTTCCTTTTCAGCTAATATCCATCAGCTACCAAGAAGGTAAGGGAACGAGAGGCCATCTTTATGCTGCAGATCTCTGCTGGGCACATCATTTAATGTGGATTTGAGATTAGGACAGAGGTGGAAAGGAAGCAAATGCCTAATTAGTATATT